TAAGCTCTTTAATGCGGCGAAGAGTGATGGGTTTTAAAATGCATACGAGGCAGTCCTGAAGAAATGCGACCAGCAAAGTCCGAAGGGACTGCTGTAAGGACTTCTGCGATAGTGGGCATCAGCTTGCCCGCTTGCGAAGTTCGTTCCAGATTTCTATCCTAAATGTCTACAAAGCTTGAAAGCGCTCTGTCCGCGACCAACCAATACTTATAAGCCAAATGGCGAGTGGTCGCTATCTCCTGGGGAAATGCTTCAGTGGAATTCAATGACTTTAAGAGCCATAAAGTCCTTCCCTATAAATCAACAGGCACGTACGGTATTTGCACTGCCGAACTTCGGTCAACGTCTGACGTTTTATGTCCGACACTAGACTTAATCTGTAAGGCTTGTCTTAAACTTAGTTTAGTGCCCAAGGGTGGGACCCTGGCGAAAGGGAGGTAGACCCTCCCCCCTGGATACCTGATTCCGGCATAAACGGTAATGGTTCTTTTTTCAAGAAAAAAAAAAAACGAAAATTGTCCGGTGAAGGCGGAATCGGTTCGTTGGTAGCATTCCACCAGACTTTATCGGAGGTTAAAAAGGCTGATCCCACGGTAGATGGCGCACGTGGCAGGGTCGCCCTTCTTATAGATTTGGCGCATCTCCGAATTTTGGCCACGGAGACAATACCACACCAGTTGGCTTGAGAAAGCCATTTTACCAAAATTGTTACATAAGCATTTGGTTTAGAGAGAACGGGCCTGTATTTCAGAGGATAAACTTAGTTTGAGGCAGCCTTGGGCGGCGCCTGCCCGGCGGCCATATTCGCGTATACATACACGTTCTGCTTTAGAAGGCAGCGAAAGCTTCATTCAACCACATGAATTGTTCGCACGCCCACAGTGACATCAGTTGCATGCACACTAAAAAAAATTTCTATCGAAGCTGCCCACCTCTGGTTTAAGGCATCGCCAGAGTTCAGAACTGATGTAGTCGTTTAGTTTTACCACTAACTTCAGGTAACTGGTACAAATTTATAGTACGAGATTGCACAACTGTCGAAGGCTACAAAATGTATGACTGCCGGAGGAAACCGTACTTTTACGAATACCACCATTCAGGCAGGCAGCTTCCGTAGATGTGGGCTTCTTACTAGATACAGTGACCAGAAAACTGCCAAACTCCCCCTCCTCTGCGTATGCTATTAATCTACGCCTTATTTCCCTTCATTTCTAAGCTAACGAAACCAGAACCTCGCCGTTAGTGAGAGTTTGCGCTTTTTGTAGACAAATAATCTGACTTTGGTATCACCTAACCACTTTCTCAGAAAATGATCTCCTAGTCACTAAAAAAGAAGACTCGAACAAGGAAATATTGATTTCCAGACCAGGGGTTGGGACCATGTAGTACTATTGTGTCATCCAATAATTGTGCATACATACATCCACCAGGATTCAGTAGGTATTTTGTTGAGAAGATCGAGTAGTAAGAGAGCAGTTTCGGTAGGTTTGGCCCAGCAAGAATGGCATAGGCTTCAAATGGCATGTGAAGAGATGAGTTACGCTGTCGGTACTTCTGCACATGCGGGACGCACTTTCGGTATCTCCGGGTCTATCCTAGATTAAACCTGCTGCAGTATAAACTTTTTTCAGAGCATAAATATTGGTATTCTCTTTGACGGGAAAGATCTGTGCATCCCTTTGGAGGTGGTGGCTGCTTTAGCATCATATAGAGACATCCTCAATTATTACTCTGACCAGTCGGAAACTATGTACACTTCGCCCTGCTCATTTCTGAAATGCAACTAATTTTTTTCTATTCTCTATTTCAGCTATGGTTTCCAAACTCGATCAATCTGTAGCTTCCGTGATTGATGCGCTCGCCCAAAAAGGCATACTCAATAACACAATTTTGATCTTTCTCTCCGACAACGGTGGCCCGACTATAGGCCTGCACGCCACTACAGCCTCCAATTACCCACTCAGAGGCGTAAGTATAACCATTAAATTAACCTGGCTATGGCTATTAATTAACCCTTACAACCTTTTTTTTTCTCCCATTACAGCAAAAGAGCTCGCCCTGGGAGGGTGGCATACGCTCATCGGGTGCCATATGGTCACCGCTACTCGAACATTTGGGCACTGTGTGGAAACAACACTTCTATATCGGCGATTTGTTGCCCACATTAGCGGCAGCGGCCAACATACCACTCGACTCACAACAAATGAAACTCGATGGCCTCAATCTTTGGTCCGCGCTAAAATATGGCTACAATTCGGTGGAGCGTGAAATTGTGCACAACATTGATCAGATCAGCAATTATGTTTCATATGGCAAAGGAAAATGGAAACTTATTAATGGCACTACATATGAT